TCTTTATGGATCGTTTAACATCTCGATTAACATCTTACCATTTACATTATTTTCCTTGTCTGCTCCCACCTCGTGCTACTTTTCTGTATCTTTCCTCATTTCCTATCTTCGCTTTTAGGTCTCCCATTAAGATATTCATCATTCGTAGTTTGTTTGTTCATAGTTGGTTCTACTTGGTCATAAAATGCTTCTTTTATTTCTTGGTCCGTAGTTTTGGTAAGTTTTCTATATTTAACTATCCAAATTTACATCTGATTCTTATTTGGCATATTTTGTCGGGTATAGCTTCAAAACTCATTACAGCCAGTCTGATTCTGCTATAAATAAGAAAACCGACCCCCAATAATCTTCCTTTTCTTCCTCTATTAAAAAATTTGTATCCGTCTATAGCGACTATATCACATGATTTAGTCTTTTGGATTGCCATTATATCCACTCTGTAATTTTTCATAACTGCCTTCTCCTTACATTCCAAGAAGCTACTCTAATAATTCTTCTTCGCCTTGTTCCACTTCCATATCTGCCCTTCTATTGAAAATCCATATTTAGTTTTTTTTTTAATTTACTGACACCACAATAAATTTTATGAATTGATTTACTAAAATTTGTTAATGTTACTTTGTCATGGCCAATTAATGTTATGGCAGCAGTTAAATCGCAAAGTATTAAAAACGCATATGCATATATCTGACATACTTGTACTGTACAATTTTACCATTTTCTCGTTACTTTCGAAGGCAGTGAGATAATGAACTTTACTCTGTTGTTGAGTCACCCTGTATAGGGGGTGTACCTACAGCCAAATCTTCAAGTCAAATCTACCTTAGTCATTACAGAATAGAAGAAAATGAGGTGCGAATCGATCAAAATGACATCTTTTGCATTGCTTTCAATATAATAATATATCCAAAAAAAACTGGGGCTGACCTGTTTCTAACTATGTTATAACACCGCAAACCATAAATGGCGCCACTCACTCTTCATTTCAGTGATCCCTGACATCCCTGCTGACACATATCGGTTATATTCCGGTTTGTAAAGTTGACTGCGCCTTGGCTTGATCCTAGAACTGTTTTCGTGAATTTTGTGACATAACCTATTTTTTTTTGTTTTCAATATCTATAAGTTTAACGAAATCCTCCCGGCTTAATTTCAATGCATTTATTATCAACCCTCCTGCCATACAAAAAGTTCAAATAAGGATAACAAAGCTACACAAAATAACGTTTAAAACCGCCTCTACTACAATTTCATTTTCTTATGTTGACGTAGAACTCTCCGAAATCAGTTCCACACAAGCCCCAACCACTGCTCGAGAACGGTATGACCGCGGAATATACAAACTGTATGTATTATATATATATATATATATATATATATATATATATATATATATATATATATATATATATATATATATATATATATATATATATATATATATATATATATATATATATATATATATATATATATATATATGATGACACTATATTCCGGGATATCATCCGTTCGCTCGTCGAACTCCGACTGGAATCCTGCATCCGACTGGAATCCTGCAAATCTTGCATCCGACTGGAATCCTGCAGACGTTTCGCCAAAGATGCCAAGTGAGATTTTGGCGAAACGTCTGCAGGATTCCAGTCGGAGTTCAACGAGCGAACGGATGATATCCCGGAATATAGTATCATATATATATATATATATATATATATATATATATATATATATATATATATATATATATATATATATATATATATATATATATATATATATATATATATATATATATATATATATATATATATATATATATATATATATATATATATATATATATATATATATTTACATCCGTAATGATATAGCTCGTCCACATGTGGCGCAGCAATAGGTCTTCTCCCAGAAGGAGAGTGTATATTTAAATTTTTTGCGCGTATACTGGATAATTGGGAACTATGCAAACGTGTTCTGCAAAATAATTAACTATTAATTTTTTCAATTTTCACATATTTTCCAGCGGATGCGTCTTCCTTATCCAACACAGTCAAGAATCCTCCTCATGTATAAATGGATTACATATTACGCAATATTGGTCTTCCGAGTATATTTAAATATTACAGATTACGGTGGATAAGTTCACCACCCGCGTTGCCAAATGTCTCAGAATTTGGAACCGTTTATTAGAGCATCGAAGGAGGTTACTTCTGTTTGAAGCTGTGTGCGTCCTTTAATTTTCACGTGTTTTTACGGTTCTGTGCATGTTTCGTAGTAGGAAAATTGTTAGGTAAGTAATTAAAATTTGAGATTGTGATCTCCATTTAGGCATTGCAAATTTGCTATTTTTTGTTGAATGATTTTTATTAAGTAAAAAACATTAATGGGATACTTATTTCAGCATGGCGCGAAGGTTATTTCCTGAAGAATACGCAAGTATTACATTATTGTTAAATATCCATATCTAAATATAACTTTTTATAGTATGCAGTTTGTAGTGCAAAAAATAGGTGGTTTTGTAACAAACCCCTGGACGAACCATCACCTCTTACACCGAATGTCGTTTCAAAAGATCTAAACACAAATGATTTTGAAAGTGTAAGTGTACGTTTTGAAGAGATAGGAAATTGCAGATATTTTTATAAATTCGTATTTAAAAGTTTTTGAAAATATTGTTAGATTTAGAAACAATTAAGAAGTTTTAGTAACTATTTAAATATTCTTAAACATTCTCACCGATTGTTTAAAACCACATCTCATAGTGAAACGCAAGTGAACGTTGAATACGTTCTTCCACTATAGCTTCCAATTTTCAGATAAAATTTTAAGGATGGATATTGCTTTGCTTTCTCTTCCGACACACAGTATGTTTTTATTTATATGTGCGTCTAAGCGATTACTTTTGCTATAGTGTGAAGAAATTTTGGAGCTTCATTTTCATTTAAGGCAAACATCAATGACGTAAGTTGTCCTATTCGTAAATTTATTATATATATTCAAAAGGGAATATGTTTTTAGGAAAACGAATCCCCTTCTAATTCTTTGCCTTCAAATAATTCCAAAGCAGATCCAGAATATCTTCCTAGTGATAATGAGTCGGTTAGTAACTTATGCTACTTGAAAGACAAAAGGCATGAAATGATATAAATTACTAAAATATAAAAAACATATTTTATTTCTTGAAGTTATATGCGCATCTCTACAAATTTTACTTAAAAACTAAGTTACCATCTTCGGAGGCAGATTTATGATATGTTCAACCGTATATAATTAATCTGTTCAGACTTATGTTTCTCCGCTTTTGTTAAAATGGAAACATTTTTTAATATAATAGGCGCCTTGATTCATTTCTCTACAATAAATAAGCCACGTTGGAGAGCGTTTACTAGAAATAGGCTAAAGGTTTCCCTTTAAAATACACATTAGACAGAGAGCGATAAGAAAATACTGAGAACAACTTTTAATTTGACGTATGAATTTTTTGACTTTTATTGTTGTTTTCTAATAGACCACATCAATTCTCGTAGATGAAATTTTCCTTTTTGCTGGGATATCTAATAAATTTTCTATAATTTCACTAAAATAATTTCACCAAATCCTTCATCTGCGTGAATATTCTCAGAGTGATTATAAATATTCACCAAACTAGCCTGCATACCCTGCTTCCCCGGAGTAATCTGTTACGTTAGATTATTCTGCACTAAAGAAAGTTTTCCTACATCTTTTACAAACAATCAGTTTTATTTAATATTTAAATATTGAAGAATATTGACGTGGAATATTAAGGTTTATTTATACTAAGGCTTGATTAGAAACATAAAATTTGATAGCGCAACATAGTTTCGAGATAGTGGTCGGTAATGAACGCAGAGGTGGGAATTTGTATGTACTTTTGCTCTTCTTGTCTCCAACTAAAATCTGACTAATTTGTCAATTTGTTTTTGAAGCCACAAGAATCGAATGATTTATGGTATGGTACTATAAATTGTCGAATAAATAATATTCATAATTATTCAATCATACTTGGATAATAACTTGTCTCTCTTCTTAAACAAATTCCGAATTCCTTTTTTTTACTATGCTGATCTGGTTGTAAAACTTGTCGTTCCTACATCTATTTCAGATTTTAAAATGTTAAGAAGGCGTTTATTATTTCACAAAAAATGTTATCTCATTAAATATAAAAGTATAAAAAGTAAAAAAGGAACGTCTGAACAAATTAATTGGAAAAATAAAATCTTCAATAAAGTAAAAAAATATTTGCAGTATAAAATAAAACCATCCCACGCAATTCATGGTAACCTATAACCCAAGTATCTTCATTTTAGAAAATCTTATGTATTTCATGAAAATACCAGCTCAATCCTCTTTCGGTCCTAAACTAATTTTTACCAAATTTTTAGGCAGCATTAGTAATAATAAGTTGTAAGAAAAATCAAATGAATGTTTTTTCAGGAAATATTTTCTAACGTTAGTTCCCCTTTAATCTGCTGCACGCCACCCGACAGTCCCTTAATCTGCGAAGATTTGAATTTAGATAAGGATATTAGCAATACGACTCCAACTACTGTAACAGCTTCTAAAAAAAAATCTAAAAAAAGTACGTTTTGTTACTATTGCGAGACGGAGATCTTAAATTTTCCTAGACATATCGAAAGAAACCATAAATCTGAAATTGATGTACAAAAAATATTATCACTGGATAAGCAAAGCAAAGACTGAAAAAAATTACTCTTTGCTTTAAGAAAGAAAGGAAATTACCTGCAGAGTAGTAGCGATATCAGTAAACCAGTTAGAAAAGGTAATGAAGATAGAAATATTTACCATGCGTACATTGCCTAGGATATTATTCGTCTAAAAATTTATGGAGACACCGCAAAAATTGCAGCGAAAATCCAAATAAAGGATATTCTATGAGAAATTCTCAGGCTGAAGCTCAAAACTTTCTAATTCGGAATTTAAAAGTGGACTCTCAACTAAAAATTAATGTTTTCCCAAGAATGAGGGCCGATAAGATATCGCTAGTTGCTAAGAAGGATCCCTTAATATGTGCATTTGCATCTAGATATTTAAAAATTCACAGAGAGAACCATTTCATTCTAGTGGCTTCAAGAAAAATGAGAGAATTAGCCAGATTATTATTGGAGATAAAAAAAATAAAACCCACTATTAAGGGCCTCTTTGAGACCCTTAAACCGGATAACTACGATATTTTAGTCTCGGCAACTAAAGCTGCATCTCGATTTGACAAGGATTCTAAAACATATCAAGCTCCAACATTTGCATTAAATATGGGCACTACATTGAAACAGTGTTGCGATATCGCACTAGTATACAGCTTTAAAAAATCTGATTACCTTGCATCTACATATTCTGCAACACAAGAGGCTGACCTTAAAACTCTAATACAGTTAATAAATGGTAACTGGAAATTTGATGTTTCCAACCAAGCTTCTAGTGATCTTAATATAAATAAATGGAATAAAGTCACTCTAGTACCCCTTGCCACTGATCTTAAACTACTAAAAGATTACTTGATAAAACAAGCTGATGATGCACTCTACAAATTGCAAGAAAATTCCAGTGATGAAAAATCATATACTACTTTAATAGAAACCATCTACTGCAGAATAATTTTACTGAATAGACGACGTCCGGGAGAGTTGCAGAGACTTTTAGTAAACACTTACAAATCAATAATTCATCATGAGAATGATGAATTATTGATGAGCAGTTTTAAGCGTATTGTCATAAGAGGTAAAAGGGAAATGGGAGTGCCAATATTAATTAGCAAGGATGTACAAGAACACTTAAACATAGTTTTAAGGTGTAGAAGTAAGATTCTGAAAATGTCCAATATTTACTTATTCGCAAATCCTAAGTCATCTAAGCCAATTGTGGGTTATAAAGCATTAAGAAAACACGCTTCACCCTGTGGAGCTAAAAACCCGGATGCTCTAACCTGTACCCGACTTCGAAAACATTTGGCAACTTTAACTCAATTATTTAACATGTCTGAAAACGACATGGAGCAATTGGCCTCATTTATGGGTCACACTTTGGGTATACATCGACAGTCGTATCGCCTACCCGACGATATTTATCAAACTTCTAGAATTTCCAAATTACTTATACTTATGGAAAATGGTGAAGCTGGTCATTTTAAAGGCAAATCGCTAGATGAGATTGAGATAAATTTGGAAGAAAATTTAATGGATATGTCTGATAAACCAAAATCAAAAGAAAATGAGCATGGAAACGAAAATTGGGAGGCTACTGAAAAACAAAATGACGAGACACATCTAGACACGTCAAATGCACAGGATCTACTTGAAAATTCTGAAAAAAGTAAGCTGGATTCGGACAGTATTCAAAAACCAAAAATTCGAAAGCTAGTTCCATGGACAACAGAGCAGAAAAATTTAGTTATGAATTTTTTTTAAGGTCGCATTAAAATGAAATGTCCTCCTAAAAAAGGTGAATGTCTAAATCTTATTTCTAGAAATCCTAAAATTCTGCACAATAAAAACATGGTTAAAAATAAAGGTTTTCATTCAGAATCAATATACAAAAAAGTAATCTATAAACCCATTAATTTAGAGGAATTTTTCATTTCAACAGTACTTATGTTAAGTTCTGCAATTTTTTTAATATATGGCCTCAGTTTAACTATTCTCTCGGTATATTGTATATGTGTTGTATTTGGATTATATGGCATATTATAGGTACTTTTATTATATACCATACCCTAGCCACCAAAAAATCCAAAAGGATATCTGTATTTTATTTTTTATTGTGTTACAAAGACAAACAAATTCTAAATAAAGATTCGTTTATTTTAGATGTTAGTTCATTTTATTTCGTCTCTAAACTTTAAATAACAATATACCTACCAATAAAAATTTGAAAAAATGTAAATAACAAATACAAAAGATGCATATTTAAGTATACCACGTCAAACAGTGTTGTCACTTTTATGGAGGAGTAACATACTGTAAAACGACAATTTTGTATACATGGGAGGACCTATTCACCGAAGTGTAGTTATAACATATACGCATGAAAATATACGAGCGCCGCTAGCGACGATCGTCGAGGTGTCAAACCGCTGAACTAATATATACAAAATAGCCGAAAAACAGCTAAAACTCATCCCTCTCAAATTTTGGTAAACGAACCAGATCGATGTTTCGGTTGTTTTAACGTAGGATGCGTTAGGTCTTCCGTATACGGAGGACTTAACGCAACCGGAGGAGCTATTCAATGTAAAAGGTCTATTGAAGGAAGACTTAACCACCGTAGTATGTATATATATATATATATATATATATATATATATATATATATATATATATATATATATATATATATATATATATATATATATATATATATATATATATAATATATATATATTTAGAACATTGTGAACCAATATAGGTCCAATAACAGTTGAATTTAAAAAATCATACTACCCAACATTATACCTATATATTTTTTTAAACCATGATTACGTTTTGCCTTTAACTTAATAATAAATGCAAGTAAAACTAAATTTCATATTTTTGTGTCGGTATATATCAATACTTCATTACTGTTAAGTACAAAGTCTTTGGTTAACACCCATTTTGATGTCTAAATATTCTTACTGCCTGCTATCCTTTACTTCCTTTTCTTTTCCACCTGATTAATTCCAATTACATGTATTAACTTAGTTTTGCCATCTAATTCTGTACTACAAATATTGAGGCTTAAACAATATCTGGCAAATTCCTGGACCTTCTGTTTGTGCTGGATGTTACGAGAAAGTGTATTTTTGGATATGTTAAAAGCAATATCGATGTAGAGATTCATAATGACGACTTGAAGAATGGATCAATATCATACTTTCAATAAAAAAAAAGTGAATTTATTATAGCTCCCAAAACAATATAATATTTGAAAATATAAATTTTGGAAGCTCCCTGAAGATAATATTGTAGTATAGTGAATCATGTAACTTTTAGTCAAGCAAATTAAGCATGTTCTTCAAGAAATATAGAAAAAAAATCATTAGATTTATTTGTAAGTGCAGTGTTGCAATTGTTGTATTGTCAATATATGAAAACTAGATTTAATTGTATTACCTCGGAATTACACTAGAATTCATATGCTGTTTATTCTTCTAAGTGTTTCTATCATGTAACTTCCACTTAAGCATATTTCAAAATGTTCTTAAATTTAAAACAAGAAACGTCGATGTATAAAAACTTAAGCTTTAGTTAACTTTAATTGCAAGTAATTGCAATAATGCTCTGGTATGAAATTTGGAAGTTTCTTAAATATTGTATTGTAGTAATGTCAATATATGAAATTTAATTACTTGGAAGTCGGCTATAATTCCTTCGTACTGTACACCAGAACTCTTTCATGCTGCACACCAGAGTACCTTTGTAGTTAACACCCTAAATGTTTCTATTGTGTAACTTCCACCGAAACACACAAGAAACATCAATATATTAAACCTTTAGTTTTGATTCGCTTTATTTATAATTTTTGGAATGCATCCAGAATTCCTTCTTGCTGTACACCACAATTCCTCTGAACCTTTCGATCTACAGCTAAAATAATTCTCATTCAAATAAACTGCAGTTAATAAAAACAAATGGTTCTATTAAGTAGTTTCCACTAAGCATAATTGCTGCAAAATATTTTTTAGTTGTTCTGCAGTATATTAAAAATGGGCACTTTTTCTTCCCCTATTTTAGTGCTCTTGAGATGTCCATATTTTTTAGTAGAGTCCTTTTCCAGTCCTCTTCTTGTATTTTTAATTTATTTGATAACAAATAAACAAGTTGACTTTTTAGTCCTTTATTTAATATACTGTTTAGTCGACCCTAACTGTTGACTCGGCGCCAGTCAATCCTGAACCTAGCCAACAGCCAAGACAAGTAGATAAAAATACAAATAACCTACATAGCACTTAATATGTAGCAAAATATAAATCCAATACTTGCGAAAACTTAACTTTAAGTAACTTCAACATGGTTCGTTAACAAAAATCTAAAGTAGTTTTCCAAAAAAAAAAAAAAAAAAACCAAAACAATCGCTTAAACAACCTGTCTAACGGAAAACTGCAAATATGTACAGGAAAAACTCAAACTTGGTATAAAAATTTTTCATTAGTGTTTACAATAATACCGTTATATCATTTTGCTGATTGCAAACATAGAATGCCGCGTTAAAGCAGAGAACCGATAGGAAAATCGATTCTCTTCTTTCCTTATTTTCCTGACTAGCATTTCTATTGTTTACAAAGTAACGTTCTCCCACGAGCCTTATGAATCTAGGATAGGAATGGAAGTTGTATAAATTGGAGTTTCGAGTTCTATTCTGGCCGTCGTTCTCAATCCCAGCTGATTTTTGATGTGGCTGATAATATCTTGATCCGCTGGACAGCTTTGCCGGAAAGCCTCCAGTTCGTACATGTTTGACATGTATCTGAAAAATAGATGCATACGTTTTACAAGTCAATTGAAATAACTAGGATGCCAGGAATAAGGATGGGAAGACCAATACTATAAAAGCACGACAAACATAAACAATGTCCAAACTGAAGTTGGAACTAGTCAGAATATAGCGCATACCAAATAAACTTTTAGTCACGTGATAGATGGTCATGATGTTTAGAATCATTCAACATTCAGTTCGAAGCACTACTTTAACCAACGTAAAGTTGCTGGCAAAAGTGATTGTGTTTGGGAGGCAATTGTTGTGTTAAGCGGTAGCTATAGATAACACTTCCCCATCTTCGTCACTTCCGTTTTAAGGCACTTTTTCCCAGTTGTGTGCAACCTTTCAATCTCCTTAGAAATTTCTTTTTTTTTTTGCTTGTAAACTACTACTACTTTGTCTTGACTGAATATTTACCAGAGAAAGCCATATTTCTGTAGATGTATGTCAATTTACTGAAATTTTCTTTTATGTTTTTGCTCGGTCATAAGATATATTGCACGAAAAATATTAAAAGTGATTCAGCTGTTGTAATACTATATCATTTACTGAACTGGATATTTACATTAGAAAGCCATAGTTCAACAAATATATATCAGTTTATTAAGTTCTTCTTTTATGCCTTTGTTTCGGTTATAAGACATCATCTATGTCCGTTAAAAGTACTAAGTCATCGGCATACAAAATAGAGTTCAGTATTAGGTTTAGGTCCCTTCGTTTTCCACTATATCAAAATGGCATTTGTAGCAGCAGCAGCCTTATCTAATTGGTGTGTTGATATTTCTCTTTCCGCCTATTTCGATTGAATATTGTGGGTCAATGTGTAAAGGTTGTATTGTTCTTATTAAGTGTTTTGATACGCTCGTTTTTTTATAATATATATAAACTATAATATATAAAACTAAACATTTATTTGATGACAGTTGCATGTCATTGAGTAAGGACGAAGGCTTTAAAAAAATGACCCGAGGAAGGGACTCATACAACTTCCTGATATTGTTATGAAAAGATATTATTTTTGAAGTTACATCTACAACACAGTTAGGATGGTTTGTACAAGTTTATTTTCTTCAACGAGACTAGGATTTTTCATAATGAGACTATTATAAATTAATAAAGTTGGTAGCACAAGGTTATCATTAACATATTCACATGCTTTGTTGCATATTTTAGATATGTCAAATTTCGTGGTGACCACAAAAATGGATTACTACAATTATAACTTAACAATTATCACGGAGAAATGAACCACTAAAATTTTCTTCGTTGATTCGAAAATCAGTTGTTGCGAATTCGCGTGAATCATCTGTCACTGCGAGAACACATTATAGTTCATGGACCAACTGAACAAAAAGTCGAGTATCCAAACACAGCATTCGAATCTAAACTTCTAAAAGTTGCAGCATGGTAAAAGCACCTACAATGCCAAAATTTTATGCATTTTGTGCTCGATTAACTTTCTTTTGATTATAAACCAACAAAAAACTATGTGATAGATGACTTTGCAAGACAGCACGGACACAAACTTTTGATGATAACCTTCATTTCACTGTACTTTTAACCAGATTTAATTTATTTATTAATGTTGACGACGACTCTAATCATTATAGTGATTTCTGTGATTCAACAAAGTAAATGAATATATTCTGTTGCTGTTTATTTAAGATTTACAAATGAGCAAACGAGTATACAAAATCTAGCTTTAAGACATTGTTCATATTGTAAGCAACAAATGTTAACATGCTTACTATATAAAATATTGTGATTAAAGCAAAATACGTAAATGAAGTGATGACGTAACTAAAAAATATTTGGCATGAGCTTTAATAAATAAATAATAATAATAATAAATAAAAATACATTAACAAGTGGTAAAACGAAAATATAACATTATATCCAAAGGAGACCCTAGGAATTTTTAATCATTCAGTGTTCTTAATTGCATGCAGAGTTGTTATCTACAAAAGTGCTACGATGGTATGTTATGAATTTTAAGAGCTCCCTGTATTGCAGTATTGTCAAACTCTGGCGGCTTAAATTAAAATAAATTATAATTATATACACAATTTAATGTTTGCAAAATAGTTCGTCTCCGTAGATATTTTTTATGTCCAAAATACAAATTGACATCATAAAATTTTATGAATGACTCTCGTATTCCGAAAAAATTGCTCCAAAAAGTTCGAATGAAAACCTTGTCGTATCACTGGATCTTCCATTGGGTTGATATAATAACAGCGACAAAGGTAAACTCACTACTAAACCCCAATAAAATATTGGCTTCATTATTAGTATTAATAAAATTTGTTTAATTTAGTTACTATAATGCACCCAAATATGATTAAGCAGTTTTCTTACTTTGCCTGCGAACATATAATAAAATAAATCCAAACTGCAAAAAATTGATTAGTCCACTACCAAGCAACAAATTGAAACAACTCTTCAACACGTCAAATTCATCTCAATTTAGTTCCATTCATTCCATTACATTCTCAAAATAGTTGTACAATGCATTGATAATACCGCATCTGATTTATTGTTGTCTTTCTACCAACAAATTTTCTCACAAACTTTTTGTGTCGCTAAACTGTGCTCCTTCATTGACATGCTAACGATAGTTTCAAACATAATTACAGGTATTAATGCTCCGTCGTTATTAAATAAGATTTTATTAAATTGCATATTTTTAATAACGTAACTAAACTAACTAATTAAAACCAACTGCTTCGAGCGTAGTTTAGTATTTATTTTTGTAATTTTGTGCTTCATATACTACTATTTAATATTTTTGTTTTTATTGAATAAACTATCACTGTTCATTGGTTGGCACTTAAAGTCGTGACAGTGGTAAAGAACGTCTGGCGTGGAAAAATACGTCGTTAATAATAATAATAATAATAATAATAATAATAATAATAATAATAAATTTCTTTTAAATAATAATAATAACATAACTTTATTAATCAAATGTGAAAATAAGTTACAATTAATTAAAAGAAAATTAGATGTTCTCTGTTGGCGCAGTCTAGCTTGAGAGTTGCAGGTATACTAAAGATTAGTTATTAAATTTTAAACATAGAATGCACTTCTAAAATATAATTTTAGAACAGAATAACCCAGTTAACTTCCAATCATGAGCTAACCAATAAAATTTAGATTTTATACTTATATACTTATCAAGGAAAGTGTTGTGTAATTGGTTATATACAAGGTGTCCAAATAGTGGATCAACGTAATACATACAACAATTTCTCTTAGATGAGACTAAAAGAAATAATTTAAAATTATATTCAAATATATGGTGTGATTAATAAATATGTGGGAAATCAAACCAATATTTTGGAAAAATAGACACCCTGTATATTACGGCATTAATAGGTACTCCGTTTTATGCTCTATTATCCAATGTAGGGTTGTTATGGTCAATACTGAGAATTTTCGGATTTCTGGCTGTTTTTTTGTCAAAAATGACCTGTGTTTAATGAATATTACTTGAACGTGAAACTCTACAGCGACGGATTTAGTATAATTCTTTCAGATAATAGTATTCGTTACATGCTAATACAAAATGTAATGTAAAAATAATTCCTTAAATCCGCGATTTTGAAAAAATTCTTATACAACAATCTAGCACTGAAAACTTTTTGATCGGGACTCAAGGACAACTATTCGATGTATGCATCTTTACAGTTCGTAACTGCAGAACATAACATTAGTTATTTTCAGAATAGGTAAAAACTTTCTCTAAATCAACCAACCCGAAATCTGACATTACCCAACCACAATTTTAATTTGCGACCATCTTTTCAAAACCCTCAAGTTAGAGCAAATTTCTTTCCATTCAATTCAAATATTCTACGTTATAATTTCGCACCTAGGTCTATTTTTTCATGTTTTCCGTCACAGCCAGTCCGAACATGAAAAGTATATAGATTCCCTACTAATTATGCACTGTTTGGTAGAGCTAACCAAAATAAACCCAAATAGGTCTGAAAATGTTTTTAGACAAGTATAAACCTCAACCAATAAGTGTTTGTACTTCAAATCTCAGACCTAAACCACTGCAGTATGTCCTGAATTTCTTCCGACAGTCTCATTCACAACAAATTCAGAGAGGTTTAATAAATATGTTAGGTTCAGTCTTTAAAATTTTAAAGTTTCTGATTGTGAAAAGTACGATCGATTAATAAAGCAGCTACAAAGTAACCAAAATAACTTACCAGAAAATATTAATAAGTTTAACCACACTGTCCGACAGATGGGTAAAAACGAAGAGTTGTTAGAGACAAGAATTAAACAAATTGCCTTTATTGCGCAGAGAAAAGCTTTTAGGGAGAATGCGATGTGTATAAAGGAAACACTAAATGAAATTATTAATATTTATAAAGTCATTGTTTCAATACTTCAAGATATAGAAAATTCTGTAAATTTTTGTAAACTAAAAACAATGCATCCAAGTACTACGGAAGATCTCTATAATGAATTAGCTCGTTTACAAAAAAATGCAGGAGTAGAAAATATGTCAATTAAAGTTGATTTTGGAAGCACAGTTCTGTATAAAAAACTAATTGCTATCAAATGCTTTATTTTAAATAACAAAATAACGTATTTGTTAGATGTTACAATGCCTTCATTTGAAAACATTGAACTTTTCAATTTCTATTCCATGCTTCTATTGCCGCGTAGTAAATTTCTCTTAAACAATAACTTACGCTAAGTATACCAACATCAGACCTGCCAAGAAGTCGAACTAGAAAATTATCTTTGTAATAAACAAGACTTGAATCAAATCAAAGGATAACCCATGAGCCGTAAGTCTTTTGCCCTCCTGACGAAATGTAACGACGTGTGAACACATCGAAACCATATTGGATCGTCCATTGGTAAACCAATTAACTCGTTCCAATCGTCCCCAAACAAGAAGTTGTTAATATTAACTGCCTAAATCAAATTGAAGAATTAAAACTATTTGGAACTTTAATGTTTGAAGTTCCATTTGGATGCCAGTTGGCTGTTGGCCAACGACACATCGACGGAGCTGAAAGCGAAATAAACAGCACGTTTAAGCCAATACTATTTCCCGATATTAAAATAACTAACAATTTACTACCTACATTAGATCTAAGTGTTCACTTAGAAAAACTTCAACTCGACGATATTCAAGAATTAAGTGATCGTGTAATTATGAACAAGTCAATTTAAATCACTTTAAGAAGTCTTGAAGAAACCCTTCATGTGGACAATTATGATCTACATTTTGTTGAATGTTAAGAAGAAACAAAACTAGCGACCAGAGCCATCAGCTACCCTAACGGTATAGTTGTATGTAAGGGTGGAGGAGTTATGTCATCAATGAAGTACGGGAATGCCGATGCCGAAGAAGCTGACGCTGCAACGATGTTTTTAGTATTGTTGTCTATTCATTGTAGCTTAGAGCACAAATTATGTTCATCAAAAGTTATTTTTTAAAAACGGTGTAGTTAACTCATGATCATACTTTATTAAGTCTTTCTTAAACGATGCACAAAAAAAAATGAACCGAAAAAACCTGTCGAAATGGTTACGTAAACATAGTGTTTTTAAATTAAAGTCATAGAGCAACCATTCAATTATCCCTGTATAATAACTAAAAGGCCAGCATTTATCACGACATGGATAAATATTGGTTATTTTATCTCGTTTTCTAAACAAATTTATAAAATCGGCTTAAAAAGAGAAAAGTTGTGATTCCCGAAATTTTCGCAAAAATTTCACTGTTGGGTTTTTTTTATGCACCTGGTGTAAATACACAAATTACTATTTAATAGAAATGATCTTCTTAACGCCTTCTTCTTAAAAAAATTATCTAAAACAATTCCCAGTTTTTTTGGAGCATTCCCAATAGGAAGTAGTGCACGACGTCATACACTAAGAGCATCTGACTTATCCTTTGGATACAATATTGTCTTTAACTCTTTAAAGTTTCTGAACTCCATTGCACTCTACTCCAAATTTAATATAGTCATTAAGTTTGAAGTGATAATAAATAATAAATAACTGGTAATCCTATTCAACTTACTTCCACAGCGCGTTGAATCTGGTAGGAATTTCGAATTTCCTGAACGCTTTAGCACCGATTCTGATGTGCTGGAGTCTGGGCATTAGTTCGCAGTCGAAACAGGACATCGTGTCGCCCGTCAAGAACCTGGTGTTCCGTTTCGCCATGAAGTCGTTGATGCGTTCCAAATGCGAGAGCAACGGTTGACTTGCCTCCTTAGTGTCTGGCGATTCGAATTTCGTTACGTACATCTTGAACTTTGTGTAGAGGTTCTCTATTAGGGTGGCTACTTCTTTGTCCTGAAACAATTCACTTTGTTTTAATTTTTTTGGTGGTGATGGGGGGGGGAGGCAGATATTCCGCAGCATCGTAAAAATTGTGGTGGTATTTTGCAAATAGGTGATTTCCACACGATTTTATGGGACGTAATTAGCTATCATAATTTCGCAGCCACCAAGACCCACAAATTAAAGTTCTGTGGTGGGAGTAGGACTGAATGAGGAGCTATCGCATTATTACGGTCAATAATAATTTTTATTATAATTAAAAGATTTATTCGAACATTATACAGGAACAATTAAAATGTTACCCATATACATTACTACATTAAAAAAAAAAGATCTTTCTTTAAATTTTCAAACCGTTAAATTTTAAGTGGGGTTTGGACTTTTTGTATAAGAACATTTTTCATTTAAATTGCGTACCTTTTTACCGACAGTTTGGTAAAACGCGTCTAAAATTTTAACAAAAGGAGAGCGAAAGGTACAAAAGTTTACTATATAATTTTAACTGTTTTTGACCCTAAACGCTATGCATATAATTTTTAGAATGACTATGACAAATTAATTGAAAGCAGCCCTTATGAAGAAATTTAAAAAATAAAATTAACAGTTAAAAAATATCGAATAAAAAAAAAGTTGACAATCAAAATCTGCTAAAGATATTAAAAAAATCACCATAATTTTTGTCGCTATCTTTAACGTTGTTAATTTTTCAAAGAAACTTTCACAGGCTTAATACTTTTACAAAACTTCTGTATTCCTCCTGCGCCTATTGTTGTTGAGTCGCACTTGCTAACGTTTTGCCAATCATCCTGTTGGCTTCTTCAGAGCTTAACTTAACGGACGTTCATTGAAAATTTTATTAATCATTTTGAGTGTATGTTATAATCATCAAGATTTCTTATAAATGTTAAGACAATTAATTTTTCTTATCTTTGGTATAGCTGTGAAGCAGCCATCAAAAGAAATCCTGAAAAAATTATATTAGATTTTCATTCTTTTGTAACGTTTTCTTAAAAAAGTTCCATCACAAACTGCTTCTAGAAAATCTTTTAATAAAAGGGAAGTGTGAACATCATTTGAAATATTAGTATATACCAATACTACGTTACGTGATACAAGTATATAATTTGCTGGAATTATAATGTAATTATGTAAATTAATTTATTATACAATTAATACAATAATTTTTTGTTTAAAAAAAGTTTAAGCCCACAACCCATGAATGACTCGACCATAAATAAATAAACAGACTTAAAAGAAATTAAAAAAAGTAAATTAAATTAAATTTTAAAATTTTTAAAAAACACAAAAATAAGTATCAACAAGAAAACTTAAACTAATATTAACAAAACCAAAAGAAAGACTAACCAACAATGTCAACAACATAGATTGCACAAAATATTTGGGGAATATTGGATTCGATCAATCAATCAATCAATCTTAAGGTTGACGAATTTATTTATATAGTGACTGTAATTCACTATAAGTAAAGCATCCTCTCTAAACACATGGCGGTTAGAAATAGAGGACAATATGATTGAAGCAAAATACTTAGACGTCGCATAGGAGTAATACAATAGCCTAATATCAAGAAAACATTAACAATTTAAGTATCACACTGCAATCAGTTTGTTCAAGGTGGAATCTTTTATGAAGTATGTTGGACACGTTGAGATGCAGCTTATTAGGTAGACATAATTTTGTGATCATCAGCATAGGCGACGTGCAGTTCAGCATCGTAATAAGATCCTGAATAAATATATCAATCGTTTTTGAATAAAAATAATATAAATAGTGTGTTTCCAAAAACAAAAAAAAAGAAAATCCTTTTACATTTTTCGAGATCTATGGGTGTTGAAATTTTTTTGCCTCAAATAAAAATCGTCCAGTGCCAAGATATCCCAACGAATAGTATTGTCAGAGATGTATGTCACTGACTTTCTTGCAAAGGAATACAAACTGTTTTATTCTTGACTTGTTTTTGTATCTTGCGAATAAAAAAATAAAAAAAATAAAAATCATGAAAATTAACAACACAACACATTTATTTGTTTACCCTTTCATCACAATGAACCTAGTTCTAAAATAATGAAAATGCTCACCAAAATCTTCAGACTAGGCATATAGCTTAAAAAGAAACCCTGTATATTAAAAACTAAGCATTTCCGGATGTATATTTAATAATAATGACATTAATAAAAATAATAATAATAATAATAATAATAATAATTACAATAATAATAATTGAAAGGTTTTTATTAAATTAAGTAAATACACATGTTACAAGAAATTTCGATATAGAGGCGAAGAAAAAAAAAATATATATATATATATATATATATATATATATATATATATATATATATATATATATATATATATATATATATATATATATATATATATTCACGTATTGATTCAGTGTGTCTAATAGTTGATGAAACCGATTTTATATATATATATATATATATATATATATATATATATATATATATATATATATATATATATATACAGTGTGTCCAAGATAAGGATGCACAGCATGGGGATCTCGGAAACTATAAGAGATACAGTGTCGGTTAAATTAGACAAAAGTTGCGCATTTTGATACCGAACAAGATCCCGTTTTACAAATTTGAAAATTCCAAGCCGTTCCGGAAATATCCGAGAAAAACCGAAATATTGCGATTTCGTTTTTATTATTTTTTAAAGCTATTTGAAAAGATATGAAAAAACGGAAAACACTTTTCCATTGGCACTTTTTAATCTCTCCAAATTGACGTTAACAAATTTTCATTACAGCGTTTCGATTCCATGGAACCACCATCAACTTTGATTTTTCTTATGGGACGGAAAAAAAGTACACACAGTATTAGGTTGTGCTTTTCATTGCGAATTCAACGATGTACGATACAATACGGTTACTTATGTTTTTATCCAGAAAAATGGCTTTTTAATACATTTCCAGTATTTTATTGTAGTAGGCCATGAGATCCGAACGATGAAAGGCAAAAGAAAATGGTTGACAAGTGTTCGAGTTAATGTGTTTATTTATTTACTAACTCTAACTGTTCATTTAACATAACAACTAAATCCAACAAGTTAATGAAAAACAAATTCTATAACAAATGTTCGAATAAATGACCTCCATTTTCTAGGCATAAGTACGCCCGTCTCACGGTAGACTCCAAAACACGACTTAACATTTCAGGAGTAATTTTATTAAACGCTGCTCGTACTGATTGACGTAATTGTTCCTCGTTGTCAAAACATTCTTTGAATACCTCATTTTTTATGTAACCCCATAAGAAAAAGTCCAAGGGAGTTAAGTCCGGGGACCTTGGAGGCCAAGGTGTTTCACTGTAAGTCCCAATGTATTTTCCATCAAACCGTTCAGTTAAATATTGGCGAACTTCTCTGGAGTTATGGGCTGGGGCACCATCTTGTTGGAACCAGCAGCCTTGCACAGCGCCTAGCGGTAAATCATCTAAGGCATCTTCTAAATCGTGCCTCAAGATGTCAAGGTACCGCTCGGAAGTTAAGGAATTATTATAGAAAATAGGGCCTATAATCTTGCTACCAAAAATCCCACACCAAATATTAAACCCAAAGCGAACTTGATGTCTGGATAGTCTATTAACACGTGGATTTTGTTGCGACCAATAGTGTGTATTGCGCCTGTTATAAATACCGTTATTGGTCACCATACTTTCATCAGACCAAATCACTTTATATGGAAAATTAAAACTCTCATCACACATCCTGGTATACCACTCACAAAAATGTCTACGTCGTTCGTCGTCACCCGGTCTTAATCCTTGACATATTCTGAATTTGTAAGGCTTAAATTCATTTTTCCTTAAAATAAACTGAGCTGTAGATTTAGCTACCCCATTCTGGTCTTCAATTTCTCTGGTAGAAGTTTGTGGATTTTCCATAACAGATTGTAGAACAATGTATTGGTTTTCTTCATTGGAAGGTTTTTGTCGGGATAATGCAGGCTTCTTAAATGATCCATATTCTTTCAGATTAAATAACAAACGCCGAAAAATACTCTTGTCAGGTTGTCTCCGCTCTGGGTATTTGTTAGAATACATACGCTCGGCTTCCACACAATTTCTTTGGCATCAGATGTAGCAAGACAGCATATCACATTTTTCTTCGTTTGTAAAATTATCTCCCTCCATTGTAGAACAAAATAAATTAGAAAAAGACAACAACAATAAAAATACAAAAACAATAACTAAAGGAATAAACTTATGATCGACTGATAACAAAGACAAATAACATTAATATGTCATTGAAATTGACTGGATGTCATTTTGTCATGGCCTACTCCATTTAAATGCTGAAATGTATTAAAAATCCATTTTTCTGGATAAAAACATAAGTAACCATATTGTATCGTACATCGTTGAATTCGCAATGAAAAGCGCAACCTAATACTGTGTGTACTTTTTTTCCGTCCCATAAGAAAAATCAAAGTTGATTTGGAGAGATTAAAAAGTGCCAATGGAAAAGTGTTTTCCGTTTTTTCATATCTTTTCAAATAGCTTTAAAAAATAATAAAAACGAAATCGCAATATTTCGGTTTTTCTCGGATATTTCCGGAACGGCTTGGAATTTTCAAATTTGTAAAACGGGATCTTGTTCGGTATCAAAATGCGCAACTTTTGTCTAATTTAACCGACACTGTATCTCTTATAGTTTCCGAGATCCCCATGCTGTGCATCCTTATCTTGGACACACTGTATATATATATATATATATATATATATATATATATATATATATATATATATATATATATATATATATATATATATATATATATATATATATATATATATATATATATATATATATATATATATATATATATATATATATATATATATATATATATATATATATATATATATTTTCACGTATTGATTCAGTGTGTCTAATAGTTGATGAAACCGATTTATATATATATATATATATATATATATATATATATATATATATATATATATATATATATATATATATATATATATATATATATATATATATATATATATATATATATATATATATATATATATATATATATATATATATATATATATATATATATATATATATATATATATATATATATATATATATATATATATATATATATAGCTTATAGAGTTTGTAGGAATAGCCTGATTGGTTGAATCGATCACAATACATCAGCGTATCATCTGCATAAAAATGATGCAGACACGATAAAAAGGTTTTTCTTATTATATGCAGGCTGTTCAAAATTTGATTACAAAATTTGCAACTTTGAAATCAGTTCTTAGCATATTTAATGCAGAATTAAATTACAAGAATATTTTGTTATTACGAATGTATTAAAATTCTCAGTTTTAGAGATATTCTGTATATCTATATATATCCTTATTGTATTGGGAAATTATCGGCCATGAAGGCCCTCGAATTGAAATATCCCAGCAAGCTATGGAAAAACATTGACATATTCAGTTTCTTGTAATAATTTTTTATCTCGTTTTCTTCATTTCTGGAGTATAGTTTTTTTAAAGGAATTTATGTGCATGCTGGTAATTAAAATCTGCATAGAATAATGAAATCAAATACAGGGCGTGCCATTTAAAATACTAAGAGAAGCTGATTCTAAATTTGCCATTGTTCACACTATTTAGTGGGAACAAAACAGATTTAATAAGTTTTTTCCAAGGATGCAAAACGATGTTTTTATATTTTTTATTTAATGCTGAAATGTCGAAGCAAATAAAAATTTAGTTTCTCACATAAAAGAGAACACCAAAACGAACCTAAATGTGCCAAAAAAGACAGAGGGTGACGTTTATGACATGGCACTTTTTTGGATCGTCCAGAATATTTAAAAATATTTGCAGCATCAACACAACTTTTGCATTAGACTTTTTTTTCTCTACACGCTCTAATGCTGTGGACTCTATATAAATAGAGCATAACAGAGGTCCCACAATAGAACCCCGAGGGAATCCAGAGGTTACTTCTAGGGCACATACACGAACTTTTTTTTTGTTTTTGGACGATGAATATTCAGTCCAGCGCTTGTGTATGTTTTTGAATCACCCTGTATACTAAGAAAAATAAAAAAAACAAAAATCAAAATGAGAGTTTTAGTTCGTTAGTCGGCCAACTGCAATTGTGTGTCGTAATATATCAATTTCGCTATCGTGACAAATAATTTGGTCGCCAGTGTAAGCATTTTGCGAGCATCCATCAATGAGGAAAAGAATAGGAAAAGATTAAGTATCAGTGAGCTGATAATCAGTCCATTGCCAAAACATTTTAGAGGGTTGGGAGACAGGAATTCAAACAACCCCTTGAGAAAAATCCTTGATTTTATGGAAACCACCAAATGAAATATGAACTCAAAGTACCCAATCGCATATAAACAGAGCAACAGAGGATGCTACAAATCAAAATAAGATGACTCGCTCAATAAATATACCATCAAATATTCAATCATTAAAAAGATTTTAAAAAATCAGCGACAACGGAGCTGAATAACAATAACAGTTTTCATTGTCCCGAGCGAGGTCAAACTATAAATTAATAAGATTTAATGGTAAGTTTCAATAAAATTACAAAATTTAGTTACCAAATCATCTGCATATTCAATATTTAAATAAACATGTGACATTTGGGAACATGACAATTATTTAAATTAATGAAAATTGAACTTGCTTAATTTTATCTTGTCAATGTTATGACATTGACACGGATGAGAAAAAAGGACCGACGAATCATTTTGTTCCGCACTGCGGCAAACTTAACAGCCATATTAAAGCATTATTGCAATAGAAAAATATTACTCAAATTGTCAATGATTTGGGAAACTATAAATTTCCGGAACAGACAACCTTATACAGAATCATCAACTGACTTTTTACATATTTTATAATTTAATTTTTGTACTTCATTTTTGCTGGCAACCAAAATATCCAATAAATGACAATAGGCCCCTTCCACATAAAATTTAATATTTGTCGAAAACGGTTAGAAAAGTGGTACTTACCGCAGAAATCATAACATTTTCGGAATTATACCTTGTCAAGATTCATTTTTTTAATTTAACACACAGCCCAGATTTAGAAAGTCATAGTTACAAAATAAAAGTGTTTCAGAAATCTGTCACTAGAGAGCACTGTATCTAGAATTTTTTTTATTTTCCCTGTATTTTATTTATTTAGAATGATATTGCAAAATAGAACATATATTGCCTTAAGCAGAATCAAACAAATCCTGAAAAATTGTTACTCTTGTTTTAAGTCTTTAAGTGTCGATAATGTTATTTTGTTCAGGCTGCATCAGTGGAACATTGGAAACCTACATGCAAAAAATGAAATCAGCGCCGCTTTTCTTTAAATATATGGACAGGGATTATAGGAGATAATCTTATAGGAACTCATTTCTTTAATGGGTCGCTTAGTGGGGTATTTGCAATTTCGGGCCGAGAATAAAAAAGTCGATTTGGGGCTAGACGATAACACTCATCGACTGAAAACAGGATTTTTTGAGAATTTGTGATTTTGCGTAAGGCAATCTGTTCTATTTTGCAATCTAAATAAATAAAATACAGGGAAAAAAAGTTGTACGTAAAGTGCCCTTTCGCAACTTCCCGTTGGCGCGCCCTCTCGTAGTAACACTAAGAATTATATAATTTATATCACAGTTAAGACAGGTTTGATCGACTAATAAAGGCTTATCCCATTGTGATATGTTTGTTAAAATCTGTTCAGTAGTAGTAGTTTAAAACATCGGTAACGTCCTTTGGCAGCCGTCTTGGAAATATACAAATACTTTTAAAAAAATGCTCGAAAAAACTTTTAATAAAGGGGGAAATCTTATGAAAAGTCATAGAAGGAGAAAAACTGCACACGATAAACTCGTTAGATATAGTGCAAATTAAATTTTCACAGAAAAATTGGATCAAAGAGAAGAAAACTATAGGAAACCCCCTTTATTTAAACAATTCGTAATGATTATCTAAAGGTATATTACAATGAAGATGCAGTACCTCATAGAAAAAACTGTTTTTTGAAATATTTTTTACATTTCGCCAATACTTTTTACGAGAACAAAAAACAGATATTTAATTTTGAAATGGAGTCAGTCCCTAGAACCAATGAAGTACTAAAATTGTCGCAATAGCATTTCTGTCACTAATGAAAGTTAATATGGCGCATCTAAATGAAACTCAAAGAATTAAAATTTTAATTTTTATTGGATATGGAGACAAAAAGAGAACTGAATAAGAAGTTTGTAATTTGCTTGATGCAAAATTGAAAGAAAATTTATAGAAGCAGAGGTCGACAGCAAATATTGGAATAATTTGAAATATTACTTGAAAATGCATTTATAGCAATATATAGAAATATATTTCAATGTTATTTCACAAAATTTTATATATTTTTATGGATGAACCTTACTATTAAAACCCCAAACAAAAGAAGATAATTGTGACTTTATAAGAATGCTAGCTGCTAATAACTACAACAAAGTAACGGTGTAACCGAAATAAGCATCCTAAGCGTGAGAATCTGGGTGGGAAAATTTGCAAAAGTTTCATGGCCTGCTGAGATATTTGGGAAAAAACGAGAATTTGACAATATCGATTTTCTTTTTTTCTGATCTTATTAGGAGATATATCAAAAAACTAATAACAATTTCTCCTTGGCACACTAAGGTATTTTTAAATTTTATTTCCGATGTTTCGTTTTCAAGAACGCATCATCAAATTTATTTATTTATATGGCACAAAAAAAAGTACACCCCGTGCATGATTTCATTTTTGATTATGCCATATTTTCTTTAGGCTAAGAGGAAAATTGCATTTTTTCATTTTTTTGTTTATTTGTTTTTTTAAGCAGGCGCTGCAAACAACTGCTTGACGTAAATACCTGTCACCGAGCCTGTCACATATTATTTAATATCACGATAAAATGGTAATTATTTATAGTTATTTTTTAGTGTCCAATTTTTATTTATATATTTTTTTGAAGTACTAGTTCAAAAGGTCCACCCACCCCGTTGCTGTATATATAGTCTAGCTCTTCTTGTGGTAGCTCTGCTGCCATAATTCTAGCTACCAGTTGTTCTCTATTTCCAATACTTTCGGCATAAACTAAATTCTAAGGTTGTATAGGTAAGATGTGGTACCAAACCAAAATTGTGTAAAGTTCTCCATACTCTCATCCGGCCTACGTTAAGTCGATTACTTATTCTTCGGACACTTGTAGAAGGTTGGGCATCAACCGTATTAGGCATTGCCTCTTCTTGAACAAGTTCCTATTGAACGGGACGTTTAGAAAAAGCTCTAGGAAACTAGCCTGTTTCTCACAGTTCGACAATGCACTGTACCAGTGGGAATAACGTTCCGGGTATATATTTTAACTCATCCCAGCAACACACTCCCAAGCCATGGCAGTCATGTCCTATGACACCCCGCATATAGTATGTAATAAAAAATTTAATCAGACACAAGGGTGTTTTTTGTTTTTCACGTCAAATAAAAAATAAAGTTGATATAAAATCAAAAAATTCCTAAAAAGTGCTATTAGTTTTCTGATATCTCTTCAAATAAAGTCAGAAAAAAATAAAATCGATATTGTAAAATTCCCGTTTTTCCCAAATATCTCAGCAGGCCAAGAAAATTGTTTTTTTTTTTCATAATCTAACCTAAGTTGTATATGCTTAGCATGCCCATCTTGGATACATACACTGTATAGTTGTTGGAGCTCGTATATATTACGTAAAACTTATTAACAAAATCTATTTTCCTAAGCGAATTCCTATTGTGCCGGCAAAATTTGGTTAGTTATTTGTTGCAGATAACCATCTGTTTGCATGTTATCTACGGCAACTGACCTGTACAAATAAATTATGACCACCAGGCACGGACTTCATGATATGCCTCTCGATCTTCTCATTCTCCAAGATCGCCATCCCTCGGTCGATCAGAATAGGAGGCGGGGTGGCTTCGAAGTTAGTGCGAAAGTCCGGGGGAGGTTTTTGCATATCCACCGTCGTCACTTTCAGACTGATCGTCTTCAACTCGGCTAGTAAGTATAGTTCCATGAAGTACTCCTGGCAAAAGAGACAGGCACCCTTACGTCTGCCGTCGATGGTTGAAGCCTGGAAAATAAGAATGGGTTTGGTTAATTTTGAAAGATGCGCAACCACAGAAATTCCGAATCGCAGATAGTGTTAAGCGGAAGTTTTTTAAAGTGTTCCCACTAAAATCCGCATCACATCGGGACATTATAAATTAACAACTTTTTGCAAATTTTATTCCTGGGGACAGTTAGTGTATAAAAAAAATAACGCGAAAAACAATTAGCGGTCGAAATCAATATTTTTTAATAAAATATATTGAAAAATTAGAAGGTTTTTAATGAAAATCTTTTTTTATTTAGTTTTCTACCAATTTTCAAAAAAATCGACCCAATTTGCTTTTTTTCAGAGGTTTGTTCCAAATTAAATTAAGTCTTTTAGTACCCTTTAATTAAAAAAAATAGAAATCAAACCAAATCAAACAATGAATATAGTTTTAACATTTTAAAGCCCAAATAAATTTCAAGGAAAATGTGAATACTTTCAATTAGGATGCACCAAAAAAAAAAGTTTGGTTAGTGTCTGCGATTTTTTTGATACTTGATTTAATTATTAGTTTTGATCCCCAGGATCGAAACTTGATAAGACTCACCAATGAAAAATGTCCCTTTAGGTGTATTCAACTGAATTATCATATCCCATTGCGTTTCCGAGTTACAGGGTGATTTAGAAAATTTGGTGATTGGCCACACTCCTCGTATCACTGCAAATGTGTAAGTTACCGAAAAGAAAAAAATGTCTATAAAGATTTTCTTACGTAGAATCCAACGGAGTAGCTATTTTTTCAATTTTTTTTATTTTTTGAATAATGACAAAAAATGTGTATTTTTAAATGGGACAACATAATTTTACGCTATTGTATCACAGATATAACACTTGCTGCAACTTTCAATTTTTGATCTAATTTATTATTTTAACGAGTTAGCTCCGACGGAAACAAAAAACGCCTTATACGTCGAATTATGAATGAATGCTTGGGTAATTTTATCATGGCATTTAATTTGTTCATTAAATTGTTCTAAATGTTATAGTTGCCAGAAGAGACTTGACAAATGTTGAAAAATATGACATGCTTGTTTTGTGTTGTGTCGTGGAAATACGGATGGATGGTTATAATATTGAATATAGACCTGAATTAAAAACAAATGGTAAATTATTACATATATTCGGAAAGCCATACAGGGTGTCCCATTTAAAAATACACAACTTTTATAATTCTTATGTTCTTATAAATATCCCACCTGGCAGCCTAATAATTTATTACAATTAACAGCTGAAAAAGTACTAGCGATCAGCGGCACAACAGAGCTATTACAACTAGTTGAAGTTTTAAGAAAAGCATAATAAAACAAATTTATTAGACGAGGTCAAGAAAAACAAGTTAGACGTAACAATTATACACCTATATTTATACGAAGGAAAGCCATTTACTCAAAAAATTTGTCGATGTAACAAAAAAAATGGCCTAAATAGTGCAGCAATTAAGTTTCAAATAAAAAAGACAAAAAAAAAACTAAAAGCCACATCGTGATTGTACGGAATTTGCGTTATTAGCACTCAATTAGATTAAGCTTATTGGGTAAATACAAAGAAACATAATGAAGAAGAATAGATATATTTTATGACAATTATTAATCGGAAATGATGATGATATTTTATTGATCCATATAAATGACAAATACGTGTGTTTGACAAATACATGTGTCAAGAAGCAAAGAAAAATAAATATAAAAAATTGTATAAAATTTGGCACAATTTTACAAAGTTTTAACACATATATGTCTAAAATAAATAGGTAAATAATTGTACATTAATTGTTTGTGAGATTATTGCACACTCCACATTCCCGAAAACGACTCTACGAGGGGGTACCCATAAAAAACCGGAATTGAATTGCCGCGCGCAGAGCTTGTATAGTACACCTTTCTGCCGCTAGGTTGTGGTGAGACCGTTAATCAAGCTTTTTATCTGGAAGTTTTAAGAAGATTGCGCAACAGTATTCGACAAAAAAGACCCGATTTATGGCGGACACCACGATAATGCACCTGTACACACAGCCATTTCTGTTAAGCAGTTTTTGGCTAAAAATGGCATGGTTCCTCTGCCCCTTACTCGTCTGATCTCGCTCTTCTTATTGCCACGTATGAAAAGGGACATGAAAGGACAGCGATTTGACAACATTGAAGAGGTCAAGAAAAAAACGAGGGATGAGCTGTCGGCTATAGCCAAAGATGAATATAAAAAATGTTTCGAACAGTGGAAGCACCGCTGGGACAAATGTCGTTCTGTGATTTTGAAAACAATATATAGTTTATAAAAAGTGATTCCGTTTTTTTTTTGGGTACCCGTACATTCATTTAGGTCATAAAATGACCCTTACTAGAATCGCATTTAATTTTCTTTTACACGCGGAAAGATTACTGGTCTCTCGCAACTCTGGACGTAATATATATTTAAAAGAAGACATCCTGCATATTCAGCAAAAATTGTATGCATTCAATTGATCTCTATTTCTAGTCAGGTATTTATGTGTGTTCCCCACTCTGTGATATGAATATCTCATATATATAAAACAGTATCTTCAATAAACCAATGCTAGTAAATCTTTTTTTAGAGACAACGAATGCAAAATCTAAAGAATCTCTCTCCAGTAAATCAATAATATGTTGCATAATCCATTGTAGCCGTCTCAGTAGATTCTATTTTTAGTTAAAAACTAATTTAAACGTGAAACTAAAGATTAAAAAAAAGGGGGAAACTCTCTAGCATCTACAGATATTTTTTTAAGAAGTTTTGCAATTGTCGCCGAAACCCGTCGATTTTTTGTTTGGCAATTCCCGAGTTATGTTTTCAATCTCATCATTACTGACGGGCAAGAAGCAGAATGTATCCTCAACAATTCTCCCTGTAGTATAGGAACAGACCTCTATCAAAATATTTATTCAGCTGACTAGCAGCAATCGAGGAAAAAAAGATACTAAAATTCTCAGTAATTTCATTGTTATCTCGGACCAATGAATCGTCTCTAAGCTCAATGGTGTCTTTTATAATCGTGTTCCTATTTAACCACTCGTTTACTACTTTCCACAGTCTGCCTTGTTGCTAGACTCCATTTTTTTGTTAGTGTACAAATGTCTTTCTTGTATAGGTAATATTTTTGACATGTTCAATTTGAAGATTCTTGTATGTTAAATTGAATTCTCTCATTAGGATATTGTTTACGCTTATGATTTAAATATTTTAAAGTTTTACTTTCTTTTTTCAGCTTCTCTGTGGACCAGCTATTATTATTGTTATTGTTATATATATGTTATATATATTTTATATTTGCTTCTTCAAAGCTTTACTGAAACTGGCTAGCATTTTACCCTGTACCCGCTTATATATTATTTGAGGGGGCGGAGCTAAAGGAGGGGCATGAACACCGTCTCGGATGACTGATTCCCATATTGGTGAGTCGCGGCTAAGATTGTTAGGTTGTTTATAGATTTCTATCGACTCTCGGATTTTTCGTTGGTAGAAGAATTGATTATATTAATTATTAATAATTGATATATTATTTATTATAAGAATTTGTTTTATCGAATAAATTTTTATGTTCGATTTCGTGAGTGTGTTCGCCAACTGCTGATGAGTTTATTTGTCTTATTGTTAAGAATTTTTCATGTTATTTGAGCCTAGTTGATATTTTTCGTCCGCTCTCTCCAATGTATGCTTTGCCGCATTTGCATGGAAGTGGTAAATCTGGTTTTGACGTAATATTTCATTAGAACTTTGGATATGGGGTCAGTGATGTTTTGAATGTAAGGAAGGATAACAGTGGCAAGTATAGGATTCCTTTTGGCCTCACTGCTATTGGAAGGTTGCAGGTACAGAGTAAAATGACAACCAGTTTCAGTCAAGCTCTGAAGAACTCAACAGGATGATTGATGAAACGTTAGCATGTTCGACTCAGCAAAAACCGACGCAGGACGAATCCAGAAGTTTTGTAAAATATGTTGCATTTAGGTTCAAATTGTAATCTATAGTTATCTATCTATATCTTAATTTTTAATCTTTACTTCGGAAATATTTTGAGAAATATACGATATTTTCTTATCCACATTGGAACTGATATTACTTACAGACGGTGTACTCTTTTTTTATAGACATCACAGCGACTAAAGGCAAGGTAGTATTTGGTTAGTATGAGAGCTTTTACTGTTTAATTTCTCAACCAGTGCTAAACTTTAGAGAATCCCGCGATATTTCGTGGACTTTTTAATTTTTCGGCTGAATACAACTGTAAATGAGCGCCTAAAAAATGCTTCGATATTTAAGGACACCTCCAAGAAAATTCAGAATGATCTGTTAGGATGTGTGCTTGAAATTTTTAGGTGTTTGTGTTTGTTTTTGGTTAAGGTAAGTTTTTTTTGCAAGAATTGCAGAACACCTTAGAATTTTTTCGACGAGCCGCCGCTGGGTTGCATACCTTAATCGAGCGAATTCCGGCGCGCTTTGCAATTTGCTCGTTTCGGCAAATTTATTGTCGAATCGTTCACGCGTAATTTTCGGCCAACTAGCACGAGCCACGTTCGAAAGAAATAATTTAAATGCGTCTGTAGTTCATTAACTTTTAAACGTTATATATCTGTTTATTTATAAACAATTCCGAATTTAAAACTGCAGTTCCGTTAAACGTTACGTAAGATATTAAATAGAAAGTAAAAGGATGTTGTGGTTCCACTTTTTCCGGGTCGGTTAATTTTAACGCAAATTTGGAACACCGGAACACCGTTTGAGAGTAGGGAAATAGGAATGCGTCTTTGTTACCGTTCAAAAAGAATAAATTGTCAACATTAATTTTAGGCAAAAATTAAAGCGCGAATTTCATGTTTTGATTGAATCGTTCAAGTTTCAAAAAATTTATATACAAAATAAAAAAAAAACATTTATAAAAGGTACAGGATATTTTTTATATTTGCGTACCGAAACGGAAGTCACCGAGTAAAACTTTTAATACACAAGTTGTATAATTTTTG